GCGGAGTGTCCCTGGGAATGCTGGGCGAGGGGCACTAGCCCCTGCTGCGTGGCTGGGTCTCCCCGGGGTCTGGCTCGGTTGGACTCGCTGGGCAGAGCTGAGGGGGGGGGCAGGAGGGCTGGAGCCCCCAGAGGTCAGGCTGAGCAGGGAGAGAGGCCCCCGGGGGTCTGGCTCATTGAAGGGCTCCTCCCAGACCGCTCTCAAGCTGGGGCCTAGCATTGATCCTGTGGATCCGTGACATCCTGTAAAACTCTATGTACCCCCTGTGCTCTCTGCCAGCTGGCACCAGGCGTTTCCTGGGTCACACACCCCAGCGCTCTTCCATCGCCCCGCACCCTAACCTCCGCCTGTCCCCTCGCAGGGCCCTGCCCAGCCCCCAAGCCATGGAGCACAGCCTTCTTCCCTGCAGGCCGCCTGGTGCCATCCTCGTTGAAAACACTGGGAGCGGGCAGCAGCCATCCTTACTCTGGGCAGCTTCCCATCCACAGGCAGGGACGGTAGTTAAATTGCAGATGCTGGGAGTTGGCTTCTGCCCCATTTGGAGCCATGGAAGATGGCTGCCAATTTGAATAAGGGAAAATTTGGTGAGTTTGTTCCCTATCACCATAGCAACTCCCCTCAGATGCTGTCATGGATCCATGGGCCTGGTGCTCTCACACAGCTCTGGAACAGCCCCTCGGAGGACCCTTTCAGTGTGTCAGCCCCATGAGTCTGTCACTGGGGTCAGCCCTCCAGCTTCACCGCCTGCGGGGACCGGCCCTTGGAGCCTTCAGCCCTCGGGTCATGCTGTGAGCCCCCTGCAGCGAGTCCACCTGTATTGGACCCCACAGGGAGACTTGTACCCCAAAGGAATCAATGCACATCCGGCTTCCAGACGCTGCAGTGACTCTCAGCCCGCGGGGTAACAGCAGGGGGTTATTAGGTGTCTGGAACAAAGCGTTGGGAGTCGTTAGCTAACATGGAGAATGGAAAGTTACAGCAAAGTCCAGCTGGGTCAGTCCAGAGCTCTCGCCCCCCTGTGTAGTCCCAGACCAGGAACATCTACTGCCTCCAGCAGCCCACACTTAACCCCACCTGGCCCCTCCCCCGTTCTTTGTCCTCCAGCTGGTCACACGGGGCTGACTTCCTAAGGCATCCAGAGTCGTTTGTTGCTAGGAGTCAAATATCCAGGCAATTGGAGTGGTCCTTGTCTTCTTGGACCCTCCATGTGTATGAGGCCCCAGGCCTCAAGCAGCTAAACATCGGTCACACCTGGGTCTCTGCAAGGAGTAAACCACCTCTTCCCCCACCTAACTAACCAGGCGCCACCTAGGGGAAACTGAGGCACACACAATATTCATACCAAATATCGTGAAAGAGTCCCACTTCATCACACATGCCAGATGCCTCTGCCCCAGACCCCTCGCCCCATCCCTGACACTCACACGCAGCTTCCCCCAGCCTTTACTGTATCCCCTGCCCGCAGGGCCCGTGACAGTGGGGATCAGCACCCAGATAGCCGGGGATGGAGACTCAGTGCAGAGGACCGAGGAAGCTGCAGCCCGGGTCTGGAGGCCCTGGGAAAGGGCAGGCTGGCGCTTAGACTGGTCGTCACCCGTGAGTGCAGTGCCTGGCCCAACAGGGCCCTGGGCAGGGACTCTCGTGGTTGCTTGTAACCCAGACAGACTGAAGTAGGTTTAGCAGCCCTGCGTCCGGCCCTCTGCCCAACCCTTCACCAACGGGGCTGTGTGGGGTCCCTGCTGAAAGTGAGGAACTCGCTGGCTGTCACAGCGATTGTGGGATGTTTGTACAGGAAAACTGTAGCGTTACGTGACACAGAACACTGGATTCCAAACCTCCGGGAGGTGATACGTCACTTGGGGTGGGGCGGTCTGGGGCTGGCTCTATCGCCGCTGAGATCTGTCGACCCAGCCCTGTGGTTACAGCCTGACCAGATGCAGGCGTGACGCTGCCAGAGAGAAACGGAGCCCAAGGAAGAACTTGGAACAGGGGCCCATTAGGACTGAGCTCAACTTGATGAAACGCCCTGCTCATGAAAAGAGAGAAAAGCCTGGTGTGATGCTGTATAAAACGGACTAGCTACAGTAATACGGGCACCATTGTTACCAAGGGGCATTGAGTCTTGTACACTGTGTCGGGTACGGTATCAATGGAAAAGTTACAGTCGGTCAGGTATGAGTATCCTGGTGAAATCCACGTATCATCATTGTCCCGGCAGTTTTGCACCTTGGCGATGTATCTGCATCTCAGACCTGTGCTGTGAGCCTGGGTGACACCCCAGGTGGGCTGACATCAGGGCTAGTCAGCTGTAAGGATACTCCACTCTCACCATGGCCACTGAGGGAGCTCGTCCCGCCCAACAGGGCTTCCTCGGACAGCAAGGAGCCAATGGCCACCCCTGTGATTCAGCAGGATGTGGGGGCATGTGCTGGGCCAGCGCAACCCATTAGGCGACCGCCTAGGGCGCTGCAATTTAATTTTTTTTATAATTATTAATGGAGATATCCCATCTCCTAGAACTGGAAGGGACCTTGAAAGGTCATTGAGTCCAGCCCCCTGCCTTCACTAGCAGGACCAAGTACTGATTTTGCCCTAGATCCCCAAGTGACCCCCTCAAGGATTGAACTCACAACCCCCTGGGTTTAGCAGGCCAATGCTCAAACCACTGAGCTATCCCTCCACCAATTTGGGGGATGGTGACCGCGGCAGCATTTCAGGGTGGAACCTTCCGCCCCAAAGGGCGGCAGAAAAGTTGGCGGCGCTCCTGAGCATGTGATCTGCTCATGTGACCCTGGACTGCATCTTGGGCAAGTAACTTTCCATGCACATGGCAGAGCATTTAAAGGGTCCTGAGACATCTGCACTGGGCGCTCAGCGTAGCAAGGTGGGGTGTGTCAATTGCCGGCCTGCCGAGGGAAAGAGCAGGGCGTGTGGAGCCCAGAGCAAGGTGCTGCCGGTAGCTTTGAGACAACATCCCCCTGTGGGCACAGACAAGAGCCCTCCCACGGCGAGCAGGTGGTGGGGAGTCACCCCGCACACCTTGGTTAACCCGGAACGTGTCACACACCTGCACCGAGCTAAACAATAATACACCGGCCAAAGGGAAGAGGCGAGTGGGAGCAGCGCCCAGCTCCTCTGCAGGGGCAGCACACGAACCGCAGGCTGCCCAGGGCCTGCACTGGCCACAGGGGAGAAATGGGGCAGTGGGCACGTTCCACAGCAGCCTGCCCTGTGGAGTGTGAATGTGGGGCACCCCGG